GGCTCTGGCCTCCGCATGGCGCAGGCTCGCCTGAGCCGCACGGGCGGCCCGTTCAGTCTCTGCCAGGTCACCCCGCAGCCGCCGGAGCCTTGGAGATACTTTGGTGTTGAGTCTCGGTGCAAGTTTAAGGCTTCTTGAGGTCTTCAGTCCAGAGCTTTTAGCCCAGCAAGTTATTAGGAGAAGTCGGGTACGTGAAAAGTAGAGATTTTGGACTCTAGTTCCAAAGTTTTGAGGCTTTAGGTCTGGGCGAAGTTGGGCGATTAGGTGACACACGGAGCTAGGCACAGTCGGTAAGTTGCCGTGGATTGGCCAGTGCTTCTGCCACCTAAAATAAATTGGCTTTCAACAGAGACGCGACATGAACAAGTGTCGTCGGCCTGCACGGCGCCTTGCATGATGCATGTTTTGGGACCCTTCGGGGTCCATATGCACTCCCGTTTTAAAACAAGCGGCATCCAACAGCTTTGGGCTTTGGGCTGAAGAAGCCATGACCACGCTTAACTCAATGAGATACTAATGGCAATAGTCTAACATATCCTGTACAATACATAAAATATATATATATATGTATATATATATATATGTATATATATATAGGTATATGTGACATATATACCAAATAACGTACAAAATTATATAGGGAAGCCCAGAGGCTCTGCTTCGTGCTGCCTGGTGAGAAGCTGCCCTCGCAAGTCCTCGCAAGCACTAGCAGCTGCTGAGGGTGTGGGGTTCAGGGTGCATAGGGCTACAAGTAGCAGTTTTGGAGGTTGATTTCGAGTTTCACGCTGCAGCATTTTGATTCATTTTGTGCAATCCAGCGGCGGGACTAGAGTAGTTGTGGCCTATAGCCCGAATCAGCTGTCCTCCGGGTACAGTGCTTAGTGCTACGAGTGGGACCGAGTGGGAGTGCAGCCGAGTGTTGTGTAAAGGAAGTTCTAAACTGTGGGTACCTGTCAGGTAGCTGCTTCCAACTTCTAGGAATGTCTCTGAGGACCCTCGCTTGGAGCAGCCCCACCTGCCTGGCTGTCTTGGCGCACTTGCAGGATCTCGTTGCCCAGCGCTCGCAGGTCATCTCCTGGCCGGGAGAAAGTGAAGGGTTGTCTCAACAAGAAGCACAGCCAGCGGCGAAACATATTGCTGCGTCCAGAAGCACATCACCTCCCATGACCAGGTGCCATCTCAACGTGGATCCCAGCCCTCAACGGTTGAGGTTCCCCCACAACATTAATCTTCAATTCTGTGATCTGAACTCTTGGGTGAGCCCTCGCCTTCTAGAGATTCTAGGCTTCGCGACCTTCCACTTTCGCTGATCGTGCACATGAGGGACGGGTGCGTCATCAGCTTCAGCCTTTCGCCAAGAGCCCCACAAACCTTTTCGGCCCATGTAGAGCCGATCATGTTCCAAGCCACGGGCCCTGCATCCTTCAACACCGTTCTAGCACACTCATGCTTAAACCCGGAACTCACAAAGATCCACACATCAAGTCAAACCACATCTCCTTAGGTCTGCGAAACCTCGGAAGCACGACATTCCACCCGGAGGCCCAGGATCCCATGGCAGCAACTAGGCCAAGATAGGCATAGGTCACAAGAACTTCTAGCCCTTAGTCGGTTTTGCTTTGGCAGCTGAAGCCCTGCAGAGGGTTCCAGAATCCTTCCCAGAACCCTAAACCAGAACCCAAGATCAAAAGATCAAGACTCTGAGTCCTCAGTACTGGAATCACTAGAGTCCCAAACCCCGAAACCTCAAAGAATCTTGTGCAGATCTCATCTAGGCCCGACGCGGTGTGTCCTGGTCGCCGGCGTCGGGGTGAGCTCCTTCCTTCGGAAGGATCAGCTCCCGGGATGCCAGACCCTCCGCGCTTGGGGTGGCCAAGTAGTAGTACTAGTAGTGGCAGCAGTAGTGATAGTGGTGGTGGTCGTAGTAGTAGCAGTAGCAGTAGCAGTAGTAGTAGTAGTAGTAGTAGTAGCAGTAGGAGGAAGCCCAGAAGCCCTGAACCCCGAACCCTATGCATGTACGTAGGCTGCGCCAGGAGGGCGAATCCTACAGCGACGGCCTGAGGTTTTTGAAAGATTTACGGGTGTATATCTTGGTATAGATAACTGTCTTCGCGCTGCTTGTGAACCGATTCCTTGCCACGCCTCCCAGAGGCGACATCCTAAAAGAAATCTGAAAACATCGATCCTGTGGGCTTCAAGTACAGCGACCTGGGGTCGACTTGATGGAGCAGTCTTGCACAAAAGGGCGACGCCCTCTGAGGAATGAAGCGTCACATTTTTACCTGTAGCGCTATGATCCAGCCGTAATACCTATAAACCGGCCCCTAAAAGTAGGTAAAATAATTGTCCAACACCTCTAAAGGGCTGTTGTTCCACTGCACATACTTTTGGGGTTCAGGTAGTACGCCTTTCGTGCGAAGGGCGCGGGCTCTTACTGTCCGCGGCCCGCAGAGCTCATGTTCGAACCCGGGATGCTGAAGGCAACAATGCGGCTCTGACGTCTGCAATCAACAGTCGGAATATAGTACAGTATTGTATATTAGTAGAGTAGAGTATAGTATAATTTGTAGAGAATAGTATAGTATGATAGATAGTATAGTATATAGAGTAGAAAACCCTACAATCTGAAATCATAGCGCGCAGAAAAAAACTTATGGAAGCCGCGCTCCACTTGCCAACAGACCCACTAAGCTCCGGGCGCAGGACTTGCAGCTGATGCTGGAGTATGTCCAGGTCATGCCGCAGCTCATCTCTTTCAGAGTTCGCCACTCTCCTTGATGCTGCATTAGTAAACATCCTAAGGAGCCACGAGTCAAACAAATCCACAAACTTAGCCCTCGCTGTGCTGCATAGCTGTGAGGCTCCAACGCTCAGTCCTTCGAGCCGTCCCACAGTCCGATATAACTAGGTAACTATGTCCCTGCCAGGACAAGCCGGCATTTTTTGCACTTGTCACTGTCATTGACTCGACCGGCGAGGCCTCAACCTACAAAAAAACAGAGCTTCCTTACTAGCCCAATCTAAACATCCTTATAGACCCTGACCCCTTAGGAATCCGAAACCCGGGTCATTGGCTGCAAGGCGCTCGCCGCGCTCGGCGTCCTCTCGCAGGCCATGTTCGTGGCGCAACGCCGCCTCCAGATCCTGTGCTTCTTCGTTTGGGACTAGGATGTGTTCACGGTTGGCGGATGCATGGTGAGCTCGAGTTGAGGTCCGAAGGCACTTGCAAAACATGACAAATAGTGCCATGCACGAGAAGTGGGACTGATGTCGACCCACACCCTGAGCCCAAGCTCCCAATTCATGAGTGCCCCCCCAAGCACCCTAAATCCCCCCGCACAGAGCCAAATCCTACATCAGGAATACACCAAACTCGAGCCCAAGCTTCAAACTAATGAAGCTAACCCCAAGCATGAAAGCCTTCGCCGTAGCTGAGTCCAAAAACTCACCAAGCCCCAACTCAACCCTTCAACCCAGGAAATCGATCCCTTATGGACCTTAATGGTGGGTATTTGGGATATATTGGAGGGTTGTTGGAAAAACTACAATAGGAAAGTACCAAGCCCTGTTTCTTCTGTTTGTGTCGTCAGGCCTGCATCTGGAGCTGAAGGCGCGAGGCCTGACAACGAGTCCAGATCATCGACGGATTTGGAGTGTATGTTGGGTAGCACACGGGCTTGGAAGATCTTAGAAGCATACATCGGTCAGATAATGAATGACTTTGACTTTGTCTCGACACACTTACTGGCATACTGTCCGATGGCATTGGTGTTCCCATCACCACGGCCGGAGTCCCTGTGGTTGTATCTTTTGTAACTGAACTTTCAGATCCCAGCTCCGCTGTAAAAGTCTGTGCATGAAATACGCCCTAAAGTCACGGCCGCAACACAGCAATGAATCCAGCATTGCGGCCTGCTCTGCAGACCTGTCTGTTAATAGTTAATATAAAGTCTACAGCTCAAGTGGCCCTGAAGACGTTCGAGAGCATCGGACCTAAGCAGCTTAGCTGAGACACTCACCTAGATGGCTATTGACATTTCGAGCCTCCTCCCAAAACACGAGCACAACTTCAAGTGAGCTACCGGGAACTCTGCTCTGCAAGAGTTTTATCTGAATGGTTCTGTGTCCGGCAACGAAACTTGATTTCAACAGCCATCCCAGCTGTTTTAAAAGATTCGCTGATCTTCTCCCAGTTGCTCCCACTTAACACCCCGGCACTTCCCCCAACCCCGCAAGTCTTTGAAGCTTTCAGCGGACCCAGGCCTTTGATGGATGGTGCCCTGAACCCTACCTATAGGCTCCTAAGTAGTTCCTTTTTATGGTTCATACTTAGAATCCTATAAGGCTATCCCAAAAAGGAACTACTAAGGAGCCTATGGGTAAACCCCTAAGATGCCCGGCTCAACCTGGAACCCTCAACGAGCGACCCCAACGCACCAAAGACCCTACATCCCTTCCTTGACCATTCACCCGAAAAGTTTTTGCCTATCAACCCTACAGCCCCAGTCTTATCCGAAGTCTGAGTGTCCAAATCTTCAGCCCAGATGATTTAATGCCTTTTACCCTGACTGGAACACATATAGTACTACTTATAGTAACCCTTTGCCTATACCCACTACAGTACCACTTATAGTAACCCTTTACCTATGCCCGCTCCGAAGAACAGAAGTTCCTCTCGGCCTCTTCGACATGGGCTGCCTTGCTGCGCTGTAGCAAGGCGCGGAGCTCCAACACCTCCCCACGCAGCCTCAGCTTCTGGGGGCGTCCGTCTTCAGGTTTCCTTTGTAGGGCAGTAAGGGTTCTCAGCCTGGCTCCTTTCTGAGATTTTGGGGCTGCGAAGAAGTTACGTAGTTCCTCTGTTTGTGGGTACGGGCGGCCGGGCAGGATGATGTGTACAGAGCATGCATGGAGACTGGCGGGCAAACAACGTTCGCACAAGTTCATGGCTGTTCAAAGCTCGGCGTTCAGGCTGCGAGCTGCAAGTGCTGCGACTATTGCCAGTATTACTAATATACCTAGTAGTATGGTTACAAGTACCATTACTGTTACCATAATGTTTGAGATTATTGTTACCAGTATTACTAATATATCTACTAGTATGATTACAAGTACCACTGTTATTACTATAATGTTTGATATTCGTGTCACTACTACCGTGTTGCTGAAAGTGAGACAAGACATGTTGTAGAGAACAAGCCCTGGAGCTCCAATTCCCCTCGCAGCATATCCCTGTCTCCCACAGCCGTCACAAGACCCGGGCATTTTGCCGTTCTACATTCACTGTCTCTTCTTTTCGTGTATGCACGCATTATATACAAGTTATATCTGCAGCTTGAGCCCTTCTTGTAGCTTCCGGAGTTGGGGCACGTACCGGCGACGCAACACCTTGACTGCTGTCACAACATGTCGGCGGCGCAAGAACCCATTGACACAAGTACTTCCAATCATTGAAAATTGCTGTACGAAGACCAATTATCCCCAACCATGAGCCCGAAAACCAAAAGGCGCTGAATCCCTAAAATCCCCAAGCCCTAAATCCCCCCCCCCCCGNNCCCCAAACTCTGAACCCTATAAGCCCTAAAGACCGAAACCCTAACTCACGAAACCCGAAGATTTCTTGGAGCTCGGGGGCTGCTGTGCTTCGTTGCAGGCAGCAGTGCGGCTGCTCGGTGAAGCCGCAGAGCAAGGGCCACTTCCTACTCGGCTTTGGAGTTTGTTTTGGGTTCGAGGGTTTGGGGTTTAGGGAATAGCTTTCTCAGGACTTCACAGACCATGTACGGGTTTTGTTTTTGGTGCTTCGGGGTTGTGAGGCCTTGGGGCCCATCGCGTCAGGACTATGGGGCTCGAGGTAACTTCCAGGAATGTTGTCTCAGTCAGACAACTTGCGCAATTGCATTGCGCGGGAAGCCAAGTCGCCAACTGTACTGCGAAATCCAACACCACGAACAGGGGCGCAACTGCTCCAAGCGAGCAAAATCAGGCTCTTCCTCCTCAGTTCCCTTGAGACAGGGCCTTGCAACCGTCGGCCCTCTTCCACTGGCGAAGTAGGGCGGAGGGTACCGCAAGGGCTACAGCTGCCCGTCCTCATCACAAATCAGACACGTGAGAACAATGTAACACAGATCAGATACAAGGTTGAATGGGTTGCAGCTTGGCCGCGGATGCAACTGCAAGTTCTGCAACAAAAGCACTCGAGAAAAACTCCTTAGCACAAGCTGCTTATCCTACCTTTCCCACACCCTCCAGTCGAAGAGTAATTATCGTGCATAGCTGCATTACATTATGATAGGTGTATGTGTATGTGTATGTACCGATATGCATATGTACAAAAGCAAATAAGTAAGTAAGTAAGTAAGTAAGTAAGTAAGTAAGTAAGTAAGTAAGTAAGCAAGCAAGCAAGCAAGCAAGTAAGTAAGTAAGTAAGTAAGGAAACACGAGGCACGTATGTATGTATGTATGTATGTATGTATGTATGTACGTATGCCTGTAGGTATGAAAAAATGTCATAAATGTGCACACATACATATACACACTAGGCCTGTGCGTATATGTTGCTTTCTGAACGCATATGTGTATGTGCGGTCATACCCACATTGCTGCCATTGTACATAGATGCGTATATACGCAGGGTACAACAAAGCCATTGTCGCCATCACTATTGCTGCTGCTGTTCTTGTGATCAGAAGAATTGCGACTGATGCAAAAACGAGAGCAAGAGGAGCAACCGTACGTATGTATGCGCGTACTTTACTTGTAGATAGATGAAAAAAAATATATATATATATATATATATATATATATATACAACTTCACTTATTTAACTGTTGCTTATTTACCTGATTACCTTATGTAAATGAAAGCATGTATCCAGATCTGACTGCAAATAAATAAACATACACGTGCAAATATTGAAACATACGGAGACAGGCCTACAGACGGAAGAACAAGGGTACTTCCGTCGCATTCCTAGCAATAATAATATTAATATTCATAATAGTAAAAATACTAATAATAATACTAAAACTAATACTAATACTAATACTAATAATAATAGTAATAATAATGCAGCAGGCCAAAGCTCCCAGGAGATCCGAGCTGCGAGGGTCTCTTCTCCGCCTTGGACTTTGAGAAGCCAGGCTTCAGGGTTTAGGGTCTAGGGTTAGGGCCTTAGGGTTTAGGGTTGAGGGTCTAAGGTTCAGGGTTTATAAGGTTTCGTTTAGCGACCAACACCTGCAGAAGAAATGGAACATCAAAGAGGAAGGGTAGCGTAGGACCATGGAACCAGACATGCGAGGATCATCCACAACTGGGTAGGTTGTTTGATATGTTCGATGTCTTGCTGCTTGTCTGTCGTTGTCTTCCTCTCTCACCATCACTTCGTGGTATTCTGTATGTGTTTACTCCTGTGTTTCTATGTACTTTTTAGTTATCTAGTTGCAAGAGTCAAAGGCCCTTGGAGCATTCTTGCTTGTTCTTGTTGTTCTTGCTCTTGTTTTTGTTGTTATTGCTGTACCCAGGCAGGCAAGGTTGGAGGCATTGAGACACCACGCTTGCATCACTTGCGTTTTGGTTGTATGGTGTCTTCTGTCAAGGTAGTTTCGAATTCCGGGTCCTTGCCAAGTAAAGAAGGTTTCTTGCCGCATGCGCGTACCGCAAGATCCTTCATGTTCTAAAGTCATGGGCTATGGTGGTCTTACCATAAAGGGTATTTGGGCCGCTTCCAAAGCCGGCTCTCGGACCCATCGCCAGCTCTAAATCGAGAATGTGGTCTCGATTTGGTGGCAGTGGTGCTAGTGCTCCGAAAACATGCTTAGCTGTCCTGCTGTTTTCGCATTCGGGCCACAGAATGGAAGTTGTGCTTTGCTGTGGTACTTGAGTGAGTGTACAAGCTACAGCTAACCTGACTCCTGCGAATATTTTCGCAAGAGCACGCGCATTGGCGTGGGTTGAGACCGGCGAGATGCTGTCTTCGCACTCTCAGGTGCACGTTGCCGAGATGGCATTGTCCCCAGTGCATACTGATTGCGACATGGAGTCGACAACTGAATCCAAGCCTTGCTTGATGCCAACATCGGAGCAGCAATCGGAGTCTTGGACGCAATTCACATAAGCAGCCACTGCAGCACAGGTCCCAGCTGTGTCCGTGCCGGCCGCTTCGATGGCACTTTGATAAGCGGTCATACAGGCCTGACCCACGGCCACATTACAGCCCGATGCTGTCGTGTCACTGGAGTCTGAGCCCGAGCCATTCGAGCAGCCATGGAGGCTCAGGGCCATAGCAGCTGATATCACCTTCAGCTGCAGCATGTCATCCTCTCAGGCGGAGGCTCCGAGGCTTGAGCCAACTGTTGGCATGTGCCGAAGTTCCCTGCGAGTGCAGGAACACTTCAGGCTCGGGAGTTGTTGAGCGGCATACACCCAGGTTCCCCTGAAAGCTTCGCAGAAGCAGAACGAGTTGAAGCTGAGGCAAGGGCTCGCGCAATCTTTGGGGCCTCTCCGTGCTGGCCCACGATCGACACACGCGTTGGCATGCAGACCTCCTGGGCGGGAGAGAAAGACAGCCGCCCAAGCTTTCATAGCACTAGACTCACTAGACTATCTCCTTGCCACCACGTCCTCCTCACACAACGCACACACACAAGCTGAAATTGAGAAAACGGCTTACCCTCGGTCTCACTTTCGACCCAGAGATGGCAAGAAAGATTCTTGGGTCCATACCACCTTTCCACCTCGAAACTCCTTCGTAATCGAAGGTCGAATGCCGGGAAACCTATGCCGATTATGCCCTAGTAAAACCCTAAGTCTCAACTATATTGACATGGATTCTGACTCTTCCAACTAAACCGCCATCTTCAAAAGCATAAAAAAAAACGCTGAATCATACCTAGCAAGCCAAGGTCTGCTGCCCGCCGTGCCCAAACAGAAATCCTACAACAACCCCGCAAGAACCGCCAACATAAACAAACGAAGCAAAGGATTGACGAGCTCCTCAAATCCGGACAACACATTAAGTAAGCCGTTCCCAAAAGGAAGGTTCTTGCCAACAGCATGCTTAGACAGTCTGGTTTTGGCATTCGCCAAGCCTTTACGGTTCAGAAAAAATCGAATCTTCCCATGGTCCCCGCTCGGAAGAGCCACCCATCCCAGCTTGGAGAAAAGCGAGCCTTCCCAAACTTCCAAGAACAGCTAGCTACCCTGGGCCTTGTTTTTCCAAGCTCAGAACAACTACCCTTCCGCTATTATTTTGCAGTAGCTGCATTTCCCACGGCTCCAAGCTTGAATAGTGACTGTAGATACCCAGGCCGGGCCTAAACTCTCGGGCCGACTTAAGAACATGCATGGGTGAGCGGCTTTTGCAAGGCTGGGCCGTGGAGAGCTGCGTTGGCCTCACAGAGTT